CTTGTTTCGCCATCTGCGAGGCAAGTCTTGTAGTCAAGCTGCCGGGCATCCAGCACCGATACAATGCTCAATGCTTATGCCATCTGCTTGCAGCATGGCCACAGGTTCAACTGGATGCTACGACATTGCATGATTATCTTCACTGGTCGCCGCTGCTATTGCAGTTGGCCCAGCTGAAGTTACAAGCCCTGCCAGGCGGAGCAAGTCGATCTAAGGGCTCAGAAGGAGCTCACTTCATCAGGGTACACCGAATCGGACAAGATTCCACACATGCCGCAAACCGGCAAGGTAGATGGTCCTCCGTCACATCCGACTCCTGCCAGGCACTGCTGCCTGCGCTTCAGCGCTTGTCGCTCTACGTGTCACGTGCCTTGCTTCGGGTCGTAGTCCGTCCCACAGTATCCAGCATCTCCCTCGTCGGACGAATGCCGCAAGATCCTGATGAAGCCATTCTCGCCCCACCACCTCCGATGAAGACGCAGTGAGTGGAGTCTGTGTGCGCACGTCTACAACGGAAGCAGCGCAGTATCTTTGGAATAAACGTGCAGCAAAAGCTCTCCCCCCATGAGTTGCGGACCTGTAGCCAGCGTACCGTGGATGGGATGCAAACTAGCATAAGCATGCAGCACGCACTGAACACTTCACTACTTCATATAAATCCCAAAAGGAGCGACACCAAAAGGAGACATAGGAGGAAGCCAAGAAACCAACCAGTAGTCCATGTTGACCTGACCGGGCAAATGCAAGTTCGAAGACACTGCCACTGCCTACACACATCGACGCACCGAAAGCTGCTGCCGAAACTCTGTTGCATCGTGTCCGTACCCAACCAGCAGGACTGCATGGTTGACGGTGGCATCCCTGCAGAGCATCAAAGCATCGGTGGAAGCTTGCTTGGATGTAGGAAATCGACCTCCGAACCACACGGGTTCGGGCTTACAGAACTTCCTTTTCTCGGCGTCATCTTACATAGTGCTGTTGTCGAAGCAGGCTCCCCCAACGAGTTTTGCCACACACCTGCCCCTGCAAACTTAGTCTTGGCCAGACGAGGCATTGTGAGGACGCCTTTCTGGCGGGCGTCACGTGCATCATGTGGGACTTCTGTGAGTTTGTAGATTGCAAACATGGCGACTCCATTGAGAAGATTGCTCGCTGCTGCCCTAGGAAAACACGTCACAAACCTGAACTCATCTCATCATTGATATGGCCCATCTTCGCAGTTCAGAGTCTGCCACATTGACATGTCAATGATCGAGCCTGCGACAGCCGTTGAACACTCCAGACTCATAGCTTCCCCAAGGCCCACCATCCACGGACACGACGACTGGCCCCTTAGAGACACTTGCACTGCAACAACGAAAACATGGTCAGGAAGCGGAGGGGTGGCCATCCAACTGTGTCTCCAGCGTGCTGAATCGCCATCATGAGCGGACTGAGCTTGTTCACCGGAAGCTTTACGAAGCCTGGCAGCTCAAGCAATTAAGGCTGCACGAAGAAACAGTGACACTACAATGATAGCAGCAAAGCAACTGTTGGCTTTGACCACCTTATACATCACGAATCACAAACTGAACACGGATTTGCCGCAATAATTGGCCACAACAGTAAAGTTGCAGCACTTTGTAAGCCACTGCAGCAGTACTCAACATGCATTCGGACAGAGCAGCACGCTGCAGTTCTGGGCCATGGCACTGCGGATCGCGAGCCAGTCTTGCAGTGCTCGGTCGCTTCCCGGTCACCGGTGTATGATGCACTGGCCTTGAGTAACTCTCAAACCCTACAAACGATACTTCCACCCACATCTTCCAGAGGCGAGGCACCGAGAGACCATTTTTCGAGATGTACTCGAAAGCCAGCTCCCCTGTCGCCCCACCGCAGCCACCATCTCCACCTGAACAGAGCCCAAAGCATCCAAAAAAGCACTTGAAAGACAAAGCGGGTCAAGACACTACAATTACAAGCATTCTGCACGAGACACCGCAGTGCTGGGGATTCTCGACACAGTCCTTGGCAAGTCACTGCAAAAAGAAGACCGTTGCCAAGAAGCGATGTGTTTTGTCAACGGCCAGGGCACCACCAACTCTTTGTAGGAGAGCATGCTCGGGGCTTTCTTGTGAGCGATCTCAGCCTCTGGCGAAGACCCAAGGCTCTCGGCCTTCTCATGGCTATGCGAACGGCTGACCCTCATCTCCAAAGCTCCAGTAGCCGCGACAGCCCAGCAGGATCCGCAGGCCCCTTGATCGATGAAGTACCTCTGCACCAATCTCGCTCGCAGAAAACAGGGGCCTCTTTGCAGACCAAGAAAGCCAGGGGCACTTGCCCGAGTGAGTCTGCGAAGCCCAGTCCAAGGATTCTGCCGCGGAACAGCACGCAAGAAAAGCCACGTCGCGAGACGACGTGTCTTCTCGCACGGAGAACTTTCACACGGCATGTGCGCTGCCTGCGTAGTGCACGGAATCAGTCTGGATAAAAGATGTGGAAGTCGTGCTATTCCACCACCTTCGGTTTTCACAACAGGTGAGCACCACAGCCTGGAATAATTGGCATGATAGACTATCGAGCCAAAGCACGTGCCCATTCTGCGGTAACCAAGTACTCGCCCAAACTCTTCGTGCGTCTGGTCCTGGATGGATTAGATCGTTGTGTGCAAGCTCGTGACCGCCGTGGTGGCTGGTCACGTGAGGCTCTGACGGAGAAACGGTTGAGGCCAGCAGTCCACGTACCTCACTTACGCAGCAGCCGAAAATGACACTGCACCGCAGGAACACAGTCGGCTTTAGGACAGGTCAGCATTGCTAAGAAGTTTGCACACTAGTTGGAGCTCAAGATGCGATCGGATTTTCTGTTGTGCTCTGTCACCTTCGCGTGGCTTCGAGCAAATGTTGCCATTCGCTCTGATCTCGAGACAGTGTCGCCCACCCGCTGCAGGCCTTGAAATTTGCGGGTTTCTACACGAGATAAGCGCATAGCACAATATGCACCCCTTGACCACCGCTCACAAAAAACAAATGCTTCCAAGCACCATGACGCTCCAAGAAGGCTGCCTCGGCACAGCTCCGTCAACAGCTTGACCGAAGTTCTTCACAACTGACTTAGCCGACTTAGCCCGCCCGTAGCTGAGCGCCGGGCATATGCAGTCTCCAGGCTCACACCTTCAATCTCCGCTGCACGTTCCGTGCCAAGCCTTCCAGACTGCGGGCTTCGCAGGCAAACTGCAAATCGCATGACCAGTACTCACCGAGACGACACCTCAGCTTGCTGGCAGAGGCAGCTCCAAGAACAGCTGCAAGGACCAACTTCATTCTCCTTATTTTCAGTCAAGTAAGCTCCAAGAACGGTCAAGCACATGAAAGGCTGGTTGACCAGTTCCGAGCCTGACAATCTTCGTTAATCGGGATCCGACGCGAGGCCTCTCCATCGACAAGGACATGCAGTGGATCATGACTTGGGCAAGACCCGCACCAGCCTCGGATCAACAATCCCAAACCCACTCTCGGTGAATGTGAGACTGTCTTGAACCAGAATTCCACGGTTGCTGGCGGGCTTTTGATCTGACGGCCACGAGCCGGGGACAAGAACTCCACTCTCTCTGCTGGGGTTTGTGGGCTGTGGGTGTGGGCAACGCTCATATGAGCACATCAGAATCGTACTCTTACGAAGCTAAGCACTCTGTTCATAGCCGGAATGAATATCACCTTGTGCCTGACTCTTTGACCAAATCTGCGGCAAAGGTGTCCGCATAATCTGCTTCAGTTCATCGCAAGTCCCTGTACAAGCCAAGCCCTGAAGCTTGGCACAGTAGCTTGGAAGCGTTCTTCGCTTTGCCTTAAGCAGATTTCCAATGAACGCTGGGCGTTGCACAATGCGGAACGAAGCGAAGCATCGCGAATGCATGCAGGTCACATTGGTGTCCCACTGCTGGAACACCAGGCATGAGACGGAAACAGCAGCTACACAGTAACCAGCAGGTCAACACTTGTGAAAACGCCATGAAATACCGTACTGTACGTCCAGAGTAAAACGCGAAGGCGTTGCCATACGCAGCAGACGGGAGATACCGTTCCTGAAGTGGTCTCCAGGCTCTTTGGGAAAGTCCGGTCCGCGATGCGTTTCAGCTGCTCACTGACGGAGTGCAACGCTGATACTCTGAGCGTGTTGAGAGTCTCTGGGAGTAGCTGAAGGCATCAGAGCTGCCCGTGGCACAACATTAACAGCATGCAAGCCAACAGCCAAGCCGCACACTAGGTCGGCCTCGACACTCCACGAGGTCGCGGCCAGGCATTAGGGAGGATGGGACGGGAACCCAAACCAAAGGGATCGAACCAGACTAGATGTAAGGTTATCACTGAAGTTATCACTCATCACCTCCTTTGACTCAGGTTGACATCCCACCCTTGATCACAAACAAGTTCTTGCCTTACTCCTCACAAATCACACTTGAGGAGGCAAGAGAAAGCTAAAACACACCTGGGCACGGTCCTCGAGAAAGTCGGACCTGTCAATACCATCTCACCTTGTAGTGATTCTGCACCGGGCGCTACCAAGACTGATTTCTAGGAGTATCCAAATTAGGACTGAGAAGAGGCCGCCCAGCAATTTCGTTCTTCGCTCAGTGAGAGGTTAGCAGTCCGGAAAGCAGCAAGCCGAACCACTGTTCAGTTTGGAGCTACTCTCTCCAAGCTGCACCTTTCTTTGTGCTGCTACCTCTCCAAGTAATCAGCCCCGTCTCGGTAAGGCCGTGCCTGCCTGACATGCCCGGGTCGGACGATATATGGTAGCCAGAAAGACTCTGGGGTGACAAGTGAGACTGCAGTCGAACCCTAGGCAATCAATCCGGCACGGTCCCCACTCGAGATCCGCAGGCCAGTCCGGCACTAATCATGACATCAATGAGGCACATGGCACTCGAACGGCACTTGTTCCAGTGCTGTCCTCCAAAGGACATGCGCCATGATGCCCTTGTTCAACGGCACTGCATGTAATCTGCGAATCGATTGAACTCATAAGCCACAGAGCATGGCAGACTGAAGTGGATGAATGATGCGAAGTCCCATTCCTCAGCTGCGGCTTTGAGCCTACATATCCCGCTTTGAACAACTTCGGAAGGACTTGTGCTCCCCGAGCTTGCGGCCGGATGTAAACGACACCTGCATGCGGACTTTGATGCTTGTGCAATCTCTCCTTGTCTGTTTATGCTGAATGTCTCCTCTGCACCCGGAACCAGGCATCCAAGGCACAAGAGCCACTACCATGATGCGGGCCAGGAGCCTGTCCGAAGAGCTGCACATTGAGCTCGAGCACAGCATACGAATCCCTTGACCCGGCCTTACCATCCTCGAGAGTCCCGATGCTGTCTCCACTAGCTCTGCCACTTCCGGGGATATCACCTCCTGCTTCGTGCGGCTTCCCTTCCACTGCAAAGATGCTGCTGCTATTCGCCAAGCCTCGGTGGCCTCGGTGGCCTCGGTCATCGTGTCGTCACGGAAGACCTCGTCGAGCCCACACATGCCCCCCACGCTTCAATTCCGCCCCCATCGCCAAGTGCTGAGGCAAATGCTTGAGCAGCAAAGCTGGACATCACAAGGACTCCACACGCGAGGCTGCAAAGGATCAAGACGTTGATTGCCTTTGGGCGGTGTTATGGCTGTCATTGTCTGCTGCAGATCTTGGTGGTTGCCAGAAGAGGATGCATTGGCGGACGACAAAATGCTAGGACTGCGACCCAAAACAGACCAAGGGGAGCTTCCTCGAGGTCTTCACCTGAAAGTTCATACCGAGGCCGTGTCTGCAATCTAGAATCAAGCTGAAGGTTTCCAGAATGGCTCGCGATTTCGGGATCGAACCCCTGAGAGCTTTGAGAGCTTGGAAAGTGGTACAGCAACGTGTTTCGCCCTTACCGCATCATTGATCTTCATGCCGTGGAATCTGACACCGTAAGATTATCGCACACGGTCAACTGTTCCATCCTGAGGACTGAACTGGCAGCTGCAGACAGCGACCGTCGCAAAGGTGATTCTCCAATCGCCTTCGAGGAGCCATGGTTTTGATGTTATAATGCTGCATGGAAACAAGCTTCACGCCAACGACACGTTATTCAAAAATTTACACAAAGGTGCAGTGCCCCTGTTTGGTCAAAATGCGAACTGCGCCCGGCCGGGACTCCGATGCCGGAGCCATCGTGCACGCTTCTGGGCCCCCTCACGGCATCCGCCCGGAGGAGTGGGTGCCGGCCGTTTGGTCTCAGACGCCGATTAGAAGATCAGCGGCGGGAAGTCGAAGATGCGGTCGAGCCGACATGCTGCTCGGTCGCCCGATTAAGTTTGTTCCAACACGCGCACGTGAGTTACACAACAAGTTTCACGCTAAGGACATGAAGGCCAAAAATCTACCAAAAAAGGCACTTTTTGATCGAAACGGGAACTGCCCCCGGCCGGGCACACTGCCCGGCCGGAAACTGGCCACACACGAGGTGCCAGCATGAGCCCGGTGGCAAACGAAGTTGATGTCCACCGCCGCTTCGCCCAGGACCGGTCAACCGTGACGGAAAAGTCGGCGTCAGACAAAGACCCCACCTCGCAGAAGAAGCGTTGGCACGCGGACCTAATTCGGCGACGGCACTGGGTCTTGGCCGTTACGGCGACGTAGCCAACGAAAAGCTCGGGGGTGGATGCTGCCGAATCACCCTAAGCATCCGAAGACCTCAAATATGACCAAAGTGCTGGTTTGGTAAGCACAACAACGCAAGGCCTTGTTTTTTGTGGTTCCGGACGGAGCATGTGTGTGATGTATGAAAGTCCTAGGATTTCATATACTTTAGCCTATGGCATGCTTTCCTCTAATTACACATGCATGGTAAGATGCCATTTATAGCGAGCTTGCTTGACTTCATTGATTTTTTGAAAAAATATTAAATTCCGACACGTTGGTTGAATTGAGAAAACATTGATTTATAGATTCTTGCACGGGTTTTGCTATGTGTATCAGATATGTATATAATGTATATATATATATATATATATATGTATATATATATGTATATATATAGGGATTTGTCCGACACAGAAGCCACCAAGCAGCATCAACAACGAAAACAAATATGTATACATATATATAAATATATATTTTTATATTTACTTTATATATATATATATACATATGTATCATTCTACATATATATACATATATACATATTATATATATATGTATAAATAGATACCGATTTTTAGAGATATATATATATATATATATATATATCGAATCCTTGCATTAATGCACAGGCTTGGAAGTCTCCAACCACCCGCCGCTTCGCCGCCCAGGAGCATGCAGGCATACATGTACAATTAGGAAGACCATGATCCTAGATATATATAGTGCAGTCACGATTATTCAAGGAATATGTTTTTCAAATTAGGAACTGGCCAGAATTCCCCAGATGTCTCGCACTCCAGACTGCACCGAGGCCCGTATCAAACAAACACGTGTGCATACAGACGACGTAGACTGCATGCATAGCCATATATATATGACAGAAGCCTGAGCTCCCAATAATTCGTAATTCATGGTCGGTGCCCGCCAGCTGCGGCCTTCCTTTTGCCGAGGCCGGAAGCAGTGGATGGGATGAGGTTTCAGTGTTATAATATGTTTCAGCGATTTCAGGGGAGTTGTGTCTTCGGGGAAATATATTTTGTATATATATATATATATATATATATATATATCGAATACATGGAGATGTTAATGTAGTTTTATTGATCTGGGCTTTGGCATAATGCGGGTTTCCGGTGCTGAGTGTGGAGCAGACATGTGTGCTTCTGCAGTTACAAGCATGGGCTCAGACCGCTGGGTCATGTACATGTTTAGGTTGCCTAGATTATATATATTTGTTAGTGCACAGGCATGGTCCTAGAATATGTACAACAATATATATACGGAGACTTGTAGACAGACAAGTCTCCGTTTGTCTGAGCCCTGCTTGTCGAGATCTTCCCTTCGGATCCTTGGCCGGAGCAGCTGGAAAATTAAATAGACATATATGTTATGTCACATAGTTGAATACGTATATTATATATATATATACATACATACACATACACTAGCGAGATATATACTATACGTGTGTGTAGCTTATGTATACCTATATATATATATATATATATATATATATATATATATTATATACAGATTCCAAGCTGAAGCCGGCAGGGGACGGATCCGTCGAGATCTCTAATTAAGTAGATATATACGACTACTACCATATATATATATATATATGATATACATACGATACCAGGATATCTACATACATCAGCTCATGCATCATGAGCCTTAATTTATAGGCATAGCTCTAGATCTAAAGCTGCATTTTGCAGCACTTCGCCATGGCCGATCCCGCGAATGCTGGCGATGAGCAGCGGCGAGCACCTGGGTCTGGTGTCACCCTGCTGCGGGGTCGCTGGGTGCTGTGCTTCGTCCCGGAGGTGGAGATGATGAATGTCCGCGGGTACAACCACGTCGGTGTCGACAGGTACCCCGGGCTTCCGTTTATGCCATGGCCTCCGGAGTTTCCGCCTTTTTTGGAGCCGCCTGGGTCAGTGGTGCGACCGGGCGACTTGTTGGTACCCATGGCTGCACAGTAAAGCCTTTATATACATACATATATATAAGCATATATATATATATACATTATCTTTCTGATATATATATATATATATATGTATATATATATGAAGATACATGTCAAGTTTTGCAGAGAACTGTTTACAGTTGATATTCGCTGCCTAGATATATATATATATATATATATATATTTTTTTTTGGTTTATGTATTTAGATATATATGTATTTAGATATATATGTATTTAGATATATATGTATGTCTTTATATACATTGGAACCAGGCTCAGCCCGGGAACCTCGGTGCTCAGCCTGGGGTCTGGCCTGGCGAACGTGCTGCCGTAGCTGTGGCGGCAGCAGTAATTCTTGGTTTTTGTTAATATCTAATCGAATTCATATGCTGGGACTTATCTTGAATCAATCGGAGGATGGACCTGCCACGACTGCCGCCCCTGAAGCTTCTCATGAAGCTGAAAGGCTTTCTGCGGTAACTGTGGCAGCACTACACAACAAATACATATGTTAACTATATGTGTATACATATATGTATATATACATATATTTTTTCCTCATTATATGTCTATAGATTATACGGTATCTCATAGTTAAATTGCACACTATATATGTATATATGTTCCTATATATATATATATATATATATATATATATATATCCAGGTCGATGCAGGAGCAGCCCAAGCACCTCCGCCTTCTCCCGTGGTGCATGCTGGGGCGAGTTTAGGATCTGAAGGAGCTGCTGCAGTAACTCTGGCAGCAAATAATAAGCTCGGCTGGCCTTTTTGTTGTTATATATACAGTACCACGTATGTTTTTGCTGAGCTCTTTTATATTTATGCAGGCCCCACGAGCAGCACCACCGCCTGCGGCTCCCAATGCACCTGGACCACCGCCTGCGGCTCCCAATGCACCTGGACCACCGCCTGCGGGTCCCAATGCACCTGGTCAAGATACTAAGGCAGTCTTAATTCACGAATTGATTTATGCACATCTGTCTACCCCTATATATTAATATATTTCGATATATTAATATAATATATAATGTATATATATATATATATATATATGTGTGTATAGATATATATATATATATATATATATTATGCATCATAAATGTCATGGTCGCTAGCGATTCTTCGGCAAGAGAACCACATATATACGGATGTGTTCGTGTGTATAATGTGTATATAGACACGATGAGCGAGCAGAGGTCACACCGGACCTGGCGACGACCCCGAAGGCTGCAGCTGCCGCTTCGCAAACAATATAGTTTACTCGCTACTGACTGATCTATAGAGCTTCTATATATATATACATATTTACATGTACATATGTATTTTTTTTAATTTTTGTAGTATACAAATTGAGCGAACAGAGGTCGCAGCGGACCTGGCGAAGAATGCCCCGAAGGCTGCAGCTGCCGCTTCGCAAACAATATAGTTTACTCGCTACTGACTGATCTAAAGAGCTTCTATATATATATACATACTTACATGTACATATGTATGTTTTTTTACTTTTGTAGTATACAAATGAGCGAACAGAGGTCGCACCGGACCTGCCGAAGAATGCCCCGAAGGCTGCAGCTGCCGCTTCGCAAACAATATATATATAGTTTACTCGCTACTGACTGAGATATATAGAGCTTCTATATATATATATATATATATATTTACATGTACATATGCATGTTTTTTTTGCTTTTGTAGTATACAACAAGAGGACAGAGAATAGGTCCATAGAATGACTCGGGCTGAGGGTGATGACGTCAGAGCTTCCGGACTGCCAGAAGCGATCCCTGCGAAGACAGAGGCAGTACCCGCACAAAGTTTGGAAGTGTATATGGTATATAGCGATGCATGACTTAAATCAGTTTGGCTAAACACGGCTGCACAGGAGCCGACAGCTGCAGCTCCGCCCGAGCCTTCGGAGCCGGCACCTCCTGGGCTTCCGGTGCCGCCACCACCGCCTGAGGAGCCTCAGGATGATGCAATGGCTCCAGTGACTCTGGCAGCAACAGTATTAGATATTTGTTAGTGCGGTTGTAATATAGTGATCAAGATGTGTGTATACGTATATGTATATACAAGTAGCTATATATGTATATGTTGAATAGACATGTATATATAT